TGCAATAAAGAGACTGCATTCAGCTTATTAGCACCCCAGCATCTGCTTGGATCTGAATTTGTGCTCATAGGCTTACTTGGGAACAGATATGAAAGGTAATACTTTATAATTAAGAAATAGAGTTCTTAGCTAATATATTTCAAGCTCCTGCTGGTTTACTGTCATAGCATGGGTATTAGAACACGTGTTGGACTCGGGAAACCCTTTTCTGTCTCTCATCCCTTCTAAGAGATTGTTAATGGACACCTGAGATATAATTCATTAAAGAGTGAATCAAACCAGGTTTTTCATGGTAAACTATCAAATAATTTTGAATAGAAGAAGAAAGAAAATGCATTCTGCTACGGTGAAGAGACCATGGCACAAGGTAAGTAGAAGGAACAGAAACCCAGATGGCATGTTTTACCTCCTATGGCTGTGATGTAGCGTACGGATGCTGCTGGCCCAAGATCTCTGAACACATCAAAATGGGTTGAACATATGGACCTCCACTTACAGTACAGCTCTCTGAGACCTAAGGTGCTGCCTACACATCAAAGCAACAGCTTAATGCCGTGTAGGGTGTTGACAGTCTCTCTCAACACCCCGTTAACAATAAAATGTGTGACCCTTTACATTTTTTAAAATCCTTGCAAGTTTGACAAGTGCTTTAGAATTCATGTTGGTGAAATACCTATGTAAATGGAAGAGAGCTGCTTTATTAATGCAAGAATAAATAATTCAGAAACAACTGCTTGAATATTTTAGACCTCAAGTCATCATTCTGAAGTAGTAGTTATTCTGGAGTAGCAGTTAGTAATTCTATTTCTATGCATCTGGTCTCTCATTAGCTATTCTGAGAATGAAGTGGCATAAAGAACAATGGAAACAGTTTCCATCAAATTGTTTCCTCCTCCTGTGTTTCTGATATACTTAAAGACAAATGCAAGCAGTACTCACAAACTTCTAGCCATGACCACACATTATGCTACAATAAAAATCAGGTTTTGTATTGTTAACTCTAGCTTATAGGCGTTTCAAAATGTCAGCATGCTTCTCTTCAGTTTTCCTATCAGAGAGACAGAACATGATTAGACATCTACCAAACAGAGTAAGTTGATGAATGCCACAGGGAGTACGTAAGCTCATATGCAAGCAAAGGTCAATTAATTGCTGGAGGTACTGACAAACATCCTAGGAAATTTGTAGTAATCAAGATCGCCTGCAGATAAGACAATACAGTAGGGTGTGATGCTGCTGGTGTTTAGGATTTCATGTGTGCATGTGATGTGAAATTTTTTCTTTAACTTGGGCTTCATTTTCATAACCTAAATGATATCTTTAAACAGATACAAATGCACAAGTGCATTATCCCAGACAAACTGAGATGCAGTGAAATATCATAAATGGTTTGTTCTCCTCAACCAACAGCTTGCAAAACTGTTCATCAAGCAGCAAGTTAAAGATACTCTAATAGTATGCTACCTCTAGTTTTACATGAAACCAGCATTATCGGGGATTGATGCAGCAATATGTATGTCAGTCTCCATGATACATCTTGCCCCAACATTTGTGGCCAGTTTTTCTGTGCTGTATAGCCTCTGACTTGTGTTCTTCTTTCACCAGCTACATCCATGACATCTGTGCTCGAGCAGTGCAGAGGGTGGAAGCTGAGCTTCATCCATTCTCCTAAGATGACAGCACTTTTCAGAATGGAAAAAATAGACTTCAGGTGTGCAGGCTAAAGAAAAAATGATAAGGAAGGGATAAGGAGAGGGTCTCAGCTGCCTTTTCTATCAACAGCAGTAGCAAGAAAACATCTGCATGTTCTACCTTGTTGCCTTCTTTATAGGGCTATTTTGAGAGGTATGACAGCTCTGCAGTTGCAGGAGGTTATGTGAAGAACCCAAGGTCTTGCCAAAAAGAAGGCAGAAAACCCTACAACTCACCTCACATCTGAAATGCTTTTGGTTATGTTGCCAAATATTATTTTTTTAAAAGAATATTTAAACTGTATTTGTGCATACAGTTCCTATGATGCACCTACGTATTTCCCATTTCAGATGATAGCACAAATCCCCCCAGAGTGACCTGCTTCAAGTTTTGTGAATTACAGAATCTCCTTAGGGTTGGTTGGTTCTTAGGCTGGGTTGGGGATAGTTGGTTTTGATTTTATTTCCTTTTTCTTTAGAGGGCAAGGGAACATACAACCTCCCTAATATAAAGGACTCCTGATTTGAGGGTTGCAGGAGGTATTTGTTTCAGTTTTGTTCTTGACATCTTACAGTAAATTGCGAGACTTGAATTTTCCCAGCTGTAATTTGCCTCATTGTGCTCATGAATGCTTACCAGCTATTTCACTAGGTAACAGGTAATGCTTCTGTGCCTGGGAATGGATGTTTAATGTAGGCAGCAAAAAAATGTTCAAGATCCACTCCCTAAAATTCTAATGAAGAAAAATAGCAAGAAAAGAGTGTACCAATCGCTATGTGAACAGCTAAAAGCACCACAGTTCTCAATATAGCTCTCGAGTTCCACAACCAAATAACCAGCAGGCAAACATCTCAGGGAAGATAGTCTTGATTCTTTAGCTTTTTTTTTCATTGTTTTCCTCATCTAAACCATTCTTGAGTCATACCAGAGTAATCTTAATGTAATTAAGATATCCAAGCATTGTCTCACAATTGTGTGTGAAGAAGCACTGAGTAGTGCCACATTAAAGAACCTTTGGGATGAATGGATGGGCAGATATCTTAACAAGCTGCTCTTCCACTGCTGGATCACAGAAGTTTGCTGATATTTTCAATGAAATAATTTAAAACCCACAGAAATACAGCACAAGGTTGTAGAGGTTCTTGTCATCAGTGTGGTGAAACATCAGTAGCATTGGCATCCAGCAATATGTCCAACATATTGCAGAGTTCTCTGTTCTTCCAAGTAACTGCCAAATACTTGTTTTCCATTAGCACAGCCATTTAAAGAAGCTGGCTAGATTGATCTAAATTCTAATTAAGAATATTTGATAATGCAGGCTGCATAATCTCTGATGTGTAGAAGTTGCCTAAGTGACCAAATGCCTCCTGTGCAAATACGTATTCTGAGCGTAATTGCTGCTGTTGCAGCCTTTCTCTGTGGGAATGCAGAAGAAGATTAAATTTGGGAACTTCTACAAGTTTGTTTAGAAAAATAATGGCATAAAATTTAACATTCCAGTTTATTAGGTTTTCTTAAAAAACTTTTTAATTCCTAAAAATATTCCGATTAACAGAATAAAATAAACGTCTAAGACAGTCTTATTTAACTGGTGTGGTATTTTTTAAAGGTGATGTAGAGTGTCAATTGACACCTTTAACTGTTAATCCAGATAGGACCCTCCTTTCCTAATGATTTTGTCCTTTCATTATTTTGTGCTTTACAAAGCAATGCAGTCTGCTGTCTGTGGGGTTTGATTTAATATATTTGATAGTATGCTTTCCTCAAAAGCAAGAGCAAAATGGGAGAGGGTTTTTTTTCATAGCAGCTAAAAAAAAAACCATTTAGACTTTTGTAATATTTTTCATGTGCAACGGATTGTTACTTTCTTAATACTGGTGTTGACTGATGAAAAGCTGATGAAAACATGAGCTGGCCATGGTCATTTACAGCCCAGAAAGCCAACCGTATCCTGGGCTGCATCAAAAGAAGCGTGACACTCGGGTCAAAAGGGGCGATTCTCCCCTCTACACTGCTCTGATGTCCCACCTGCAGTACTGCCTTCAGCTTTGGGGCCCACAACTCAAGAAGGATGTGCACATATTGGAGCAAGACCAGAAGAGGCCACAAAGGTGATCAGAGGGTTGGAGCACCTCTGCTATCAAGACAGGCTGAGAGAGTTTGGCTTGTTCAATCTGAAAACAGCCCCCAGAGACTTTAGAGCAGCTTCCAGTGCCTGAAGGGGGCCTACAGGAAAGCTGGAAAGGGATTTTTTACAAGGATGTGTGAGGATATGGCAAGGAGTAATGGTTCTAAACTGAAAGAGAGAAGATTTAGATGAGACATTAGGAAGAAATTTTTTCCTGCTAGGGTGCTGAGACACTGGCACAGGGTGCCCAGAGAAGCTGTGGCTGCCCCATCCCTGGCAGCGTTAAAGGATTTGAACGGGGCTTTGAGCAACCTGCTCTAGAGTGGAAGGTGACCCTGCCCACGGCAGGGGGTTAGAACTGCATGAGCTTTAAGGTCCCTTCCAACCCAAGCCTTTCTACGACTCAGTGAACCATATTCATTAATGGAATTTACAGGTAGTTCACAGCTCTCCCTATATATTTGTCAAATACAAGCTAATTCCAATGAGTTATTGTACTGCTGAAACCTGAGAGAAGCAACTATTTGCTAATGGCACCATGAATTACTATGTACATAGCTACCCATAAGCTAGTACAGCAGCCTCCAAAACTCCTGAGTAGAACCTCTGTGTGCACAGAGGGACAAATACTCACCTTGCAACTTTTGTTATGCTTGTTTAATAAACCTTAGTAACTTTAAGATTTCACATACCCTTACAAGAAAAGAAAAAGTCACACACAGAGAACTACTCATATTACTGTTTACAGTGCAAAGGGACACTATCCATCAAGGTTTTGGTTGGTACCAGTCAAGTACACAGGGAATGAAAAGCACAGATAGATAAGATATAAAAACCTGTCTTCACATTGTCAGTAGAGACTTGCAGGTTCAGAAGAAGTTAAGCACCGGTCTTCACTTTTCAGAAGTGAATCTTTACCATTAAAAATTCTAAATTTTTAATTCATTTCTTCCCTCACCTCTAACCTAAGGAAAGTCCCAGAGTATTAGGATCTCAAGAACAAAAGAATTCACTGATCGAACAGGAATAATAAAGAATACCAGAGAGACTACTACTAAACTTGAGGGACGCAAGATTTTTCCAGTCCAGAAACACCTAAACCACGTGTAACCAGAGTGACATGGCTTTGTCCAAAAAACAACAACAAAAAACAAAACAACCAAACAGGAGCTTTTACAAGTACAATTAAAAATTTATTTTTCTCTTTCTGCATTGAAGTGAGTACACGTTTACACACAATGTAACAGGGCAAAAAAATCACCTGGTTTCTAACTAAGGTTGTAAGTGTACCTTCCTTTTTAACAGTCCAGAGTGTCAGCAGGGAAATGAAGAAAAACCCAAACCAAAAACTTAACTTCAGATGGTATACCTGAAGCACCCCTTTTTTACCCACCCCCAAAAACCCCACTCAGAGCACACTTTTGGCAGAAATCCCTGAACATACCCTCCCTCCCAAAAAAAAACATTCAGTACATATTAAAAAACAGGCTCAGTGGCACTTTCTCTTGAATATGACTTCAGTAACATTTTGAAGTACAAAGCATTTGCACTGTACTTCACTTCGCTGTAAGGCTAGCTTAGACATAAGGCAAACATCACCTTAGCTTTCAAGTGCTCCATGCTAAGATACCCTTAGTACATGAGGTGTACTAAGTATAGATGCCTTGTTTCCTTTCATTGCTTTTACTCCCAGTGAAAAAAAGCAATTTAGGGAGATGGTGTGCTATACTCATCATGAATTGCAAGGTACTAAAAGGTTCAAGAGAAACAGCAGTGAATAAAAATAAACAGTATTCACATATCCAAAACTTATTTCCATCACTTAAATAATTTTATCTGCAATTACAAAATACATACACTTAAATATCTTTGTAAGAAATTATCATCTAAGGTATCACAGATTACGATTCACTTTTGATACTCTAACTGCCCTAACTCTGGCATAAAGATACACCTAGACAGTGTTACTACCTAGGGTGCTTTCCTATTATAATTAATTTTCTTAAATATACACTAAATTCTCTCTAGCTATTCTGACAAATAGTGCAAATAAAGACATTCTTTGGGTCACAATTTTTAAATATTACTGCCAATGCTATCCTCAATTTAATATTGTTTTAGTAAATGAGTAACAAAATATTGTAAGTATACACATTTTCTAACATCTGTTTAGCAATGTGTTTTCCTCAGTTACCTCAGCTTAATGCAGACCACAAAACATTAATAAGCTACAATACTGCTCACCTATCCAAAAGATATGTTCTATTTATACTTAAATAAATATATTTAGAAACCTACTTTTACGTTCCCCATTGCTTTCCATTTATTGTTATTATCCAATGGCATACTACATCAAACCGTGATATCAAAATATCTTTAAAGACAACAATCACTTCGGAAGTATTGCTCAAAGGCGATGACATAATGCTTTGAGAACCTATGCACGTAAGTTAGACCTATATAAAGCCAGCACATTGTATAATAGAATAGTTTATGCTTCTTTTAGAGTCAACTACTGCATTGCCCTAGCCAGAGATAAAATGCTTATCTTAAAGATTACCCATCATAGATGTAGCAACACAAAGTGGCCCTGTGTGCTATCTAATGTTGCTTGCTGGTTTTGCACGTCTATTTGAAGTTACTGGCATCTGATTGCTAGTTCCATTAGTGGTATTTGTTGCTGAGCCGTTCACAACGATGTAATCAACTTTGTTTTCCAATTTCACAAGGCGTTGCAAGATGTCCTCCAGAAGAACAGCAATTGTTCTTTTAAGATCAGCTGAAGATAATGGAAAAAATAACCAAATTAGATCCTGTTATTTGCTCTGTGTGAAAAAGAACTGCTATTTCAACACACATCTTAAGACTTGCCATCCTTCCCACTTTTGGGAAAGAGTGCACATTAGTATACAAATATAGAATTAAAGAGCTGCTTGATTTTTCTCTTATTTTAGGCAAGGAAGATACCACCATAATAGTGAACTGTGAAGGAAGACAGAGTGCAAGAACAAAACCACTAGTTGGAACATTGGACTAGTGACTTTTCAAAGACAATATTTCAAAGTTAATTTGACAACAGCACTAGGATACTCACCTATGACAACTTTTAGCCTTGGACAGCAACAGAATATATTTACTTTCCAACATAAAAATGGTAGTTCTAAATAACAGATCTGTACCACAGAAAAACAGCTACAAGAAAGCATCTTACCACTTTTTACACAAGCTATAAAGAAGGAAAATAAAAATATCCATATATTTAGACCTATATTGACTGAAAAATAAGAGAAAGGACAGTAAAAAAAAAAAATCCCATGTTCTGGAACACAAAACCAGTAACAGACCTCTCAACAAAAGCTAATTATGCTGTTGTCAATGCTGTCTTCTCTCAGATTTGGAAAAAATGAACAAACTTGCCAGCTTTTACAAGGCGTTAAGATCACCCCAAAACACACGCAGACACACTCTTTCCCTCTGATTTAGTTCATCGGTTCTTAAATAACCACAGAAATTGGGGAGTAAAAACACAGGTATAAAGAAAAAAGGTATTAACCCAGATAAAATTACTAGTTGTAAAATAAAAAAGTCTCAGATCAGTTTCTCCCTCTAAAACTAACTAGTTCTGGTTTAGCAATGTTATCTTAGGGGCTGGAAAGCGAGTTAAAATTTGAACCAGAGCAGGGTCTGCAGTCAGTGATACAGTAGGCCGTGTAGTCTGTAGTACCATAGTGAGCAAAGAAACTGCCTATTCAAGTTGCAAGTCTGATGTTCAGCATGTAGATCAAGAGTTGACTTTGTTATTTTTATTAAACTTCAGAGAAAATCTCAGAAGGCAAATCTCATTTGGAAATACACTGCAAGATTTATGCAGCAGTACAAAGCTGCAGTACACAAGGGTTTTTAAAAGAAATTACACAGAAAAGCAATTACACGGTAAAGACAGGAAATCCTTGAAGACATAAAAAAGGGGGAGGGGGAAGGAAGAGAAAAGGGGCAAGAAAGGAAAAAGAAGTGTTTGACTGGCAAAAATGTTAACTTAATGAATGAAAGAATTTAAGCCCGGGACATTTTAATACTGCTGTCCTCATCTTCAGTTGCTTCCTGCTCATCTTGTCATCAGACTCGCCTCCTTGTTCCTGAGCAGCAGCCAAAAGCGTTCAGATCCACTTTTGCTCTTTGTGCTCCTATCAGAGTGCCTTTTAAGGACATCCTACAACTGGTACAGCCCACTCTTTCAAGGATTCCTTAAAAAGGGGATCAAAGTACATTAACATAGATCTTTACATATATTCTTTTTAAAACATATTTCTTTTTAAGCCTCATACTTCCCTTATTTTCACAGATACATGTCTTAAATTTGACAGAACACAGGTAGTTTCTTCAGACCTAATACCTAAGAGACTAACTAGAGCGCACTGCAGCCTTCCCTCGAAAGAAGCTATGAGGGACCAGAGAGTTCCAATTAAGACATTTTTATAGCTTTGCTGAGAAGATCTCAAAACTATAGTCCCAAAGCTATCTTTTCTGTATTTCAGAAGATGGTGAATAGTGGCCACATACTCATCAAGTTAACACATAAATCAGAGAGATATGATGCAGCAAGTATCAAAGCTATAGAGACAAGGGACCTTACCTCTAACGGCTACTTCTAAAGCAAGAAGAGATTCTCCTAAATTAATAATTGCCTTGCAGTCTCAAGACTGCAATCTTAACCAAAGTTGGTTTCTGCTGCTTTTTTACTACTTGAAGAGAATAAAATTACAGAAATAAAAGCACAAAGTTAGCAGTGAGGCATAAAAAGAATCTGGAATGTTGAAGTGACTTAATCTAAAACTGTCCCCTTAGCAAGCATAGGCTTACGCCTCGGTAGCTTAAGATTCAGAAAAAGCACAATGCTTCTGTTAATCTTGTACGTAATAGTAGCCATATACCTGGAGATATCTAAAACATTCCTGGAAAACAGAAATCTCATGTCTCGAGCTTGATTTTGTGTCACATCTTAATCTTCACCTTCAGTGAATAAACTAAAATCAACTTTGTTAATACAGAGAGCTTTTCTTCTTACATAGCAGTACATATTACTTTTAAAAAGTAGAAAAGTATAACTTTACAGTTTGCAGGGAAAAGGGGTATTTGAATAACTAATGTTTGTTTCTTTCTCTTACCATATCCAGCCATAGAGGCTCCACCACCACCATTCATTAAGTTTTTATTTTCTTCTGCCAGTGCTTTGACATATCTTTTGCTTAGATCTAATATCTGTCCACGCAACTCAGCACTGCTTTGGCGTCTTGGATACTGAAAAGTGTAGCGTAGCAACATCAAACCCCAGATGATGCCAAAAACTAGTAAAAACATGCTCAGTTTCTGGGACATATTTTTCCTTGAAAATGCTAGAAACATTTCTGATGAAGGTCACAGGCGTGTCTTAATTTCAAGATAAATAATTGAACCTGGCTCTGTCAAATTATATTACATTATAAACAAAAATAAGATTCTATGAAGTGAAAAAATCTTCTGGGTTGATCATCTTGAATACGTCTTCTCATGTTGTAGTTGGTCTGGACTCCTGAAATTTGTAAAAGATCACCTGGTTATTCAAAACTGCTACAGTTGGGGAGATTAAGGACAAATACCAGTTTCCAGTATTATCACAGTCTAGCAAACAGGTGTGGATTTGTATCGGCTTAGAGATACAGTCATCTTCCCATCTCACGTGTTATTTACAAGTTTTCCTCTCATTTTACCAAATTTTATTCTCCAAACCCCAAACTTTTATGCTTCTACGAATCACCTGAAGTACTTTAAATACCATAATTTGAACTACATTAAACCCATTTCACACAAAATGCAATATCTAGAAGAGACTTGTAAGGGACTTACACAGAACATTTTGATAAATGTTATATCATTTGTATACACACATACAAAAAAGATCTTGTGAAATTCTTCACTTGATCCTTATTTCTCACTTAGAAGCATAGGACAAGTATAAACAGATAAAATGCAGAACAGAGTTTCTTGTTTTATTAGTTAGTTCAAAATTGGGCATCATCCTTTTCTGGTTTTGTACAGCATTGATATTCTTTTAGATTTTGTATCTTGCTAATAAATAAAGAAATAAAACCAAAATTCACTGACACATTGCACCCATTTTTAGCACTTTACTACAACTTTAAAAATGTCTTACCATAGCAGCCAATTATGATCCCTTAATGGATTAAGGCTTCAGGAGAAAAATAGATGGTAGAAAAGCTTCAGCAGTTAAACAGCAAATGTCCAGACAGTTTGAAGCAATATGAGCCAGACATCTTCAGAGAGCTCCGCACTGGGGAAGGACAAAAAAATACAAATTAAATAAAGTGCAGGACTAAACAGACCTTCGTTTTCATGTGGAGTGGCTGAAGTTTAGGGCTTCAAACCACACGCTTTTAAACCAGAAATTTTTAACTTAAGTTGAAGGGAAGAAAATAGAATCTATTTCCATATTATTATAAATGCATATGTTTAAATACCCAATATCCGATTTCAACATACTTAAAAAATGGCAAGAATCTCACGAAAATGTGTCCCTCTTCTCATGTTACTAGGCAGTGACGGCAGATGTTCCAGATTCATCATAAATGATTGTATGTACATATATGCTTATATACATTCTCTTACTCATTTTTCTCCCCCAAACGACTCTGATTTTTTCCATCTCTTTACATGTGCCTATCTCGTATTTCTGTTTCAGCCAACTCTGAAACTTCTCCAGTTATTCAGTATTTTTGAGAGGGAATTTCTATTATTTCATGTAATCTGGATAAAGCTACTTATTTTACATAATAGTTACATTCCCCTGTTATTCCCCATTCTTCCCCATATATTGCCTGACATAAGTGCTTTTCAGACTGAAATCACACATTTAAGTATTCCCCACCAGACTTTCTATAGTGGTACTTCAGTGTCTGGTTTTATTGGACTACCGGGACAGAATTTTTAATCCTGCTAAGCACTCATTTAAACCTAACTCTTCCTCCACGGCATTTTTCATTGCCTCTGCTGACCAGTACAACTGGCCTTATGCCAGCACACCAGAGTTTGCTGCAAACACAAGTGTCATTCCAGCAGGGTTCCAAGTTGTGCTTGTCACCCTTCACCTTCACCCCTCAGATAATGCTCTCAATAGGCAGGCCAAAATGACTGATTCAAGTAGCAGATTTTCAAAGTGCTCTAAAATCAACATGCGTATCTAAATTATTCTGAAAGTTATCAGCCCAAGGCAGGGGCAATATTAGGACTTGGATGCCAAAGCTGCTGTAAAGTAACAACTTATGGTGTGTAAAATGCCCTATAGTAACTGCCAATACATAAAATCTTACTGTTGCCAGTGCAAGTGGCAATCACAAGTCATTTAATGAGGAATAGCTTACTTCACCTTAACGGTGAGATACGACCGCACACACAGACAGCCAACAGGCAATAATCTGAAATCCCACTGTAAATTCAGTGTGGTGTACTTTGGTCAAAAACTGTGCTTATACCCCCAAAAATTACTTGAGACATAAATTTGTCTTAAGCACATAAGAGAGAAAACAATAAAAGCTTATCTTCTACAGTATCAGCATGATTATTTGGAATTGTGTGGTTAAAGATTTCCTGAAACAGATCCTCTCTAAACATGAGCTAACCAAAACTTCTTTTCCCTAGCTGTTTGCCAAATCCATGGCTCTGCACTCAAACTTTAAAGCGTAAACTGTACCTACATCATTATGCACCCTACACAGTTCCCGAATAGTATGAAATATGATGGAACACATTCACATATAAGGTCCAGGAGAAGGATATTCACATCATGGTTCAGAAGACCAAATAGTATCTCTCAAGGAGAGACCACAAGTTTCAACCCTATTCCCAAAAGCCTACATTCTGCATTATTTAAAAATAATTTAAAAAAATATGTCTGACAATAACAGATACCTTTCGCAGAATTTAAATTAAGTTCAGCTTTCCACAGATCTCCAGCCATATCTCCTTCTAAAGCATTTCGACAATCTCACTACAGAGCTTTGGAATGGAAGTAACTCAACATCACACTGTAAGTAAGAGCACAAGCCAGGACAAGAAGCCGAGCCAAAAGGAACAGACTGCATAAACTCCAGCCAAGGAGCAGCAGGAATTGCAGACTGGGTCTCTGCCACGTGTATTTGATTCACAGTGCACATGCTGACTACTGAAACTAACGGAAATCAAGGATTTAACCTGCTGAGCAAATGGCATAACACCCAAATACTGACACAGGGCAAAGGAACTGGGAGTAAGGTGTACCAAAATGAAGGGAACTATTTGTACTTGTCACTTTTCCTATGCATTTTTAGAGGCCATTCCCCCTAACTGAATTTTAGTGTAATTTTAAAGTTCTGCAGATTGGGCACTGAAGCATGCCCTTCTGGTGACCCGTAACACACTTCCTGCAAGAGCCTTCCAAGATTACACAGTGTGGAGCAGCAATAAAAATAAAAGCAAGCTTATACCCATGTGTTCTGCAAGAAGGAAAACAGGGTATCAGAGCAGCAGGTGTACATATTAGGAATAAAACAGCACAATAAGTAAGATGGATAGATTGGAATATTCTTTTGCCTATTGTTGCCCTGAAGGGTCAGCGTTTCTCTACATGAACATTATAGTTTAAACAAAACTTGTCCTCAGAATGGACCTTTGATTTTAGTATTTCAGAGGTAATAACCCATGAGATAAGAGCATACATGTGAGAAGGGAACCATAAGTCTTGTGATCTTTCCACTCCCTTATTATTCGTATTCCTCCTTACCCACCACTCCCTAAGCAAGGAAAAAGGAAGCTGAAACTTCCTTCTTCACACCAATTTATCCTGATGGGAACCCAACCTCATCACTCTCTGCAGAGACCAACAGGAAAAAAGGGCACAACAGAGCTATACCTTGTTGGAATTCCTACCATCTATAATCATAAAGACTGAGACAAAAGGAAGTCGCTCATGAAGATGAAGGAGTATAGCCATGACAGAATTTGAAAATCTGAGGAGAGAAAGGAAAAAACAAGAACAAAACCAAACCAGACTGAAAACAACAAACAAAAACCAGCCAACTAAAACAAACAGAACAAACACATACCAAATGAAACTGCTGACCTGACTATGGTCAGCAAAAGGTCAATCCAAAAATCCATGAACAGGAGAATATCTTCCAGATAATCCTTTCAGTAGGCAGCCTGAAGTGACTGACTCAAGTGGCAATTTCTCAAAGTTCTTTAAAACCAACGTGCGTATGTATTATTCTGAAAATTTACAATTTGAAACTATAAGCAATTCCTGAACAAAGTATCTGAGACTAGGTCTGCCTTTCACAGACATGAAGTTTGGTTTTCTTCACTGCTGCCACTGCTGGTTGTCTAAAAAAATGTATTGCCAAAGCCTGCCAATGTGGATTTAACATTGTCCAGCAGTACCACAACAAACACTGACGTACAGCTGGCAATGAAACCAATGAACTAAGGCACTCAGCAACTCCAAAACAAAATCTTGTCTCTATCCTCAGAGCTTCATTCCAACATCAGTCATGTATAAATTATATTACTGAGTGCATGAAACATAAAGAACAAGGGCCAAAGAAAAAGCAACAGAAAATCCATTCTATGTTCTGTAATAAAGCAAAGTTCTAGTATCTCTGATGCTACTTAACTGAACAGCAGCATCAGACTTCAGTTTGAGCTGACTCTTCACCATGGAAACCAGCCCATACTTAACAAAACATCATACTTGAAATTTGTTGGAGTTTTCCTCAGATTCTGCTTTACTTATTCCCAGCAAAACCCAGAGATTATATTCAAGTACAACATAAAAAATGCAAGTCTGTAAGGCAAAGGAATGCCTCGTATGTCCTCTGAAACATCTCAGGGTATCATGAAAACCAGGCATACCCAAAGCCTTAAAAGGTTACAATGCACCGCACAGCGCCATCAGTTCTGCTAGTCAGCTTATAAAAGACCAGTACATGTTTATCATCGTTTTTCTATGCCTATATGAGACATTTCTATTAAATTCATTGCAGCAAACACCTCTCAGTAAAGCAAGATTGCTGTATTAATATACAATAAGCTATGTTGTAAACAGGCCCAATGATACCTCACTGCAATAGTCAACCAAGGTTTCAGAAAAAGAAAATTCACATGGAATTACAGATACCAGGAAATAGTCTCACTGTTCAAACAACTCTATTCTATTAGTTTCCTTTTTTGCATCTATTTAGGGTGAGGCCCTCCCCCAGCCCATTTACCTCTGTGACCTCCAAAGTCTTTTATTGTCCAACATAAAACTTTGAGCATCATAGTCATTCAGCTGCCAGACATTGTGCTGACCATTCTGAGTGCAGACAGGCTAGTTCTGTGTTATTTGGAAATCTGTCAGTGCAGTTGCTGTGCAGCAATGAAAATGGGAATTCTGAAGAATGACTGATGCACACAAAAAAAGCACAGAACACAGTCACTAACCAATTAATCTTAGAAGACAGGGGCAATGAAATAAGCATGCAGAAGCTCAGGAGCTACATGCTGAGACTTTTTGGAATGCCAAAAATGATGTTTGCAGTCTTAGATGGCTATTGGTTTGGCAGTAGGAGAAAAATCTGCATGAGGTGCAGCTGACAAAGAAGTTAAGTATGTCCTGTTTGGGAAAACCACAAGTCCTGGCAACACACAGAAACTTCAGTTCTCCACTCCTATAACACATAACACAAACTCCCTCTAACAAATCATCTTACCCACATAATGCATTATTTAAAACTGGAGCCCAAGGAAGAATCACCTTCCTCATATTTTTAAGAGCACAAGAGTTCTTAAAAAGATGCCATTTTCCTGTACTGGCACATCCATACTGGTGACTTTTGCAGACCAACACTGCCTTTTGGTTCCCAGGTTCATTAATCAGGTTCAGACAACTGCACAGCACCATAAAAGTGCAGAATATTCGACTTGGAAGCAAACAATTAACAGAAACACGTGGCCCCAAAGAAGTAAGACCATGTTTGAGCTGTCTTTTGATGACATCAGCTCTCAGCATGTGAAGTATTTCTGTTATTGTTACTGTAAAACTTGGTCAACAGAATAATGTCACCAGCAGGGAGGGAAAGAGAAGGATACCCTACTCACAAAACCTCAGCAATGCCTGACGCACCAAAGCCCATCAAAATGTTGTACCTATGTGCTGATGAGACTCGAGCGTCTTTGGAGACTGCATCATCGATTGGGTGATAGAAGACAGAATTTATATTAATAGCTGCTAGGCTCAAGTAAAAAAATAACAGCACTATACAACACACTGCCATCTTTGGAATAGGTAACAAGGCATATTTCTGGGAATAAAAAAAGGCTGCCTTATCAAAATGACAGCTGCAGGACTGCAGGTTTTAACAGTTCTGTACCACTTTTTTGGAATGCACTGACAAAGGAGTCTGCCTAGTGCTTGGTGTCTTTTCCACGACATCTATCTTTATACCTTCTCCCACAGCATATGTTCCTTCACTCCCTGACTGCATGCCCCAGACTTGAATCACCAGGAAATGCTGAAAGAAAAAAGAACAAACCCTTGCCTTATTGCTACCCGTATTTCGAGGAATAATTTTAATAGATATTCCAAGTGACATCATAGAAAGACAAGAGGTTTAAGGGAACAGCAAAAAAGGGGTAACTACCAAGAAAACCTTTTCTTTTAGTGCTGCAACAAAGAGAGAGGAAAACCTCCTTGTGTGCTACCACCAGTCCCCTCACCAGTCTCTCAATGAGGTGCTGATGAGCTGCTGGGACAACCTCAAACATATCTTAAATCAGGAAGTTTTACCTCCTACGGGCTTCTAAGAACAGCACACAACCAATTTGTTTTGTAGCTGGACTTTGAGTTGAAAGGAAAACCATACTGCTTTAGACTTGAAAACCCACACATCAAGTTTACAGTGGCTCTGGTATAAAATTATCTGAGTGCCCACACACTAAATTACCTTTTGTGCTGACTTGTTTCTAATTTGAAGGCATGTACTCCTATTTCCATTGGTTTTATTTTACACTTTGTGCCAACAACTGGTTTGGGTTTTTTTGCATGTCTAAGGAGTCTGCTCAAGTACTTTTTGGTACCTTAAAGTATCCTAGCTTTTTTTCCAGCACCTCTCCCCTTTATTTTGCTTACTACTCTCAGCGAATGCTTTTAAATCAAATCAACTATTTAAGAACAGAAATTCTTTGTTCCTTGCCTGTGGGCAGTCAGCCAAGATTCAAGATTTTGAGAGGGGAAGTGACTTGGCAGGGGTTGTGAAGAAAATTAAAGCAAGCAGATATCAATGGGGACAGTATGTTATACTTGCTGAAGTCCCCCTCCTCCCACTGGATCCATCTGGGCCTCAAAATGTTTCTACATCTCTGTGTCAGCTTCTTTAAAAAAATAAATAAATAGAAATCTCAGCTTCATTCCATCTGGGACACTTCATTACTTCTTTACGCTTTAGCGCTGCTGTTCCAGGTCACAGCAGTAGAACCCTTGCTCAGACGAGCCACATGACAGAGCATGTGGTACCTTCTTAAGTTCCTATTTCCCGATAAGACTGCCACAATTTTTTTCACAGCAGCTGAACATTAGGCTATGACAAGTACTCCCTTTCAAAGCCTTAAATAGTACCTCTACTCCCTGAAATTTCACAGCTGTATTTGCATCACTCTTTCCAAAGCCCCTGCCACTCCAAAACTTCCTTCTGAGATGATCATGGCTTGACTTTGCAAAGATTTTGGAATTCTGAGATGATAATGTTCAGCTAACTAGTTAGTTTTAGAAAGCCATATCTGCAATTATGAATGTAAGCTACTGAGAAGAGAGAGATTTTCACTGAACATTTTAAAGAGAATTAAGAGGAAGGGGCGTGTCATTAAAGTGAACTGAAAGGGGAGGGGGGAGTCAACTAACAAAGTGACAGCTGCACTGGTGAAGACTTTGCCACTGCAGAACTTGTCATACATGTACACATGGTGCAACATCTACACAAACACAATTCTCATAGAATAGTAACAAAAAAAAGAAAAGGGAGAGAGGAAGAATTTAACCTGTCTTTTTTATTTCAAGAAACCTGCAGAATTCAGCTGAGTATGGATGTATGCAAGGTTTGTTTCAGTGGTGAAACTACAATACAGACCTGGCCTCAGAGTCACGCTCCTTCCCAGGAGCCTGATCCATTTAAAGATTTTAGTAGACCAACACTGGAGGAGTTCTTTTACTGTACATCTTTTATTATTTCTGTATTGACTTGCCAGTTTATCTTAGCATAGTGAGGCCACAGTTGTGTGCACTGCAAAATATTTCATTGTTAAAATTAAGTAAAAGGTACCCAGAATTTTAATTGGACTATTTATAGAATGGTAGCCTCTTACTTCTTCAATATTATGGAAGAGACCAGTTTCAGTGAAATAAGTTTTAAGTCCTCCTTTCTTGGTTCTGTTTCCCACAAGCAAAGTAGCCATTTAGTTCTGAGCGACCCAAAATTAATCCTTTAAATTACATAGGAAAATGGCTATATAAATTCTTCATAAAGTTGACAATCACAAATTTAGGATACCATTAATAATGCTTATATGAGGAAACCCAGCTCATGTAATGGTACAAGTTTTCAATCACAGGTGAAAAAGCTTGTCAAATAAAAAATACCATATAAAGTACATTTTAGCAGTAAACTTGTACTAGCACAAAACACATTCATTTGAATGACTGAGCTCCACAGATTTTTGACAGCTACTGAAAACAATTTAATGGCTATTTCTGACACTTACTAGTCTTCAGATATACTGACTACATGACTGACAATTCAAGCTGACAGCATGCATTTATCCTACTTACAGCGTGGGCAAGATGCAAGAACTAGTGCTCTTAACTGCTCTTGGAAAACGTGCAAGTGATCACGAACTCCAGGAGAAACATCTTACTTTTAGCAGTTAAATGACATCCAATCCCCAAGCTAAATTACAAGCTTGTGAAGCTAGTACCAGTGCCTCTTTCAAGAGGCTAAAAGCCAAAAGAAGTCTCTAAAAGCAGAGACTACAAAAACTTAAAAAAAAAAAAAATGTAGCTTTATTTCCAGCTGTAAAAGCTTTAGGAAAAAGGCCTATTTACTAGACCAAAGGATTTCCAGCCTAATTGCTTAATCCTCTGGAGTGCTCAAGTACCTGAAATGAATTATTAAACAATTATATATTGTAACACATAAAATGACAAAAAGAGGCCAGAATAATTTAGTCTTTATGCACATGGGTACCTCCAGCAGTCAAAACGGAAACAAAGGTAGCAATAAATTTCCACATTTGACCTAAAATTGAAATCGCTCCACTTGTGATACTTGAACTTAGAATATATCATCATCATTTTCATACCGTCTCCTTTCTTTGACATTCTCACAAGAGCAAAACAGTAATTCAAGCCATTTGCTCCAAAATAAACACTACAGTTAGAACGAATCACATGCTTAGCTATTATGCTCAGCACGTTCGTATTCTGGAGGTCCTGTTAAAATAAAGCCACAATTCCTACAAAACTCACCTTTCACAGTGAAAAACTGCCCACCCCTCTCCCAATTCACTGAGTGGGCAAAACAACAAAACCCCAACACAACAACAACAAAGCCCTAGTTGTTAACCTGATGTAAAGTGCACTAGGGAAACTCCATATCATGTCATAGGACAGAACAAAAAATTCTCCCTGCTTTGTTTTGTGGCATACAGACACAAAAATTACACCCATTTTAGCAGGCAGCATTTTTTAGATGCCAAAACACATCAAAGAGAATTCATAGGATCTACCATGTTAGATTAGGAAATTAAAGATAAGAAAGTTTATTAATAATGAATTATTAATGAAGCTGCAGAAGGCAGACTGAATAATACATTATCAATATTTACAGAAATAAACTTAATGAAAAATTAAAAACATGGTTAAAATATCAGATATTACAGTTTTATTATATTGTAAAAAGAAAACATTATTCCACACTCGTGCTGTCATGAAGCTGCATATATTGTACTCTCCTAAAATTAGATATTTGACCCGTTATTTTTTTATGCAGACTTCTTAGTGCCAAATTACTTAACCTAACGTGACTAAGGATCCTACCTTTGCTTGAATAGGAATTAGAAAAGAATTTTCTTCTTTCCAAGTGCCATCACATCACTGTAAACACGCTTTTGAAAGTTATGCCCTGACAGTACAAGACAGACATCAATCCTGCAGAGTCACTGCAGTCACAGTTTATGACAGATGAGGAAGGAAACCACAAAACCCTTATTTCCTTCACTGCTTCCTCAGCACCCAAGGACACTGCACCACAGCCCTGGCTCACGGCCGTCCGGCGGAACGCACCACCCCCGCGCACCTGTGAGAGGGGAACACAGCCACCGATAGCCCGAGGCGGGGGGAGCCCGAGCTGCCCTGCCGGCAGCACGACCCGCAGCGGAACGACGAAGGGAAGAAAGGTGGGAAGAGAGAAAGCTGACGGCTGCACAAACGCCAACGGGGGAAGCAGAAGCACGGCCAAAGCCGGGAGGTACACAAACCTGTGCCGAAGCAGGGGACAAGCCCGAGGAGGAGAGCAAAGTGGGGAGCGCAGGAGAGGTGAAAACCTGGGCTTACCCAGCAGCTGCTGCCAGGTTGTGGCCGCTCTGCTCCCCACCCAGGCCCGAGGGAGCTACCCCGGCTCCCCACACGGACTGATGGGCCTCCACCACCCTCATGCCACCCGACTCAGCTGAAGGCCCTTCCTTCCTCAGGCAGGGGCACAGCTCTCTCGCACCCCATCCTATCAGCCGCTCAGCACGGCACCTCAGGAAGAACAGGACCCCGCACCAACACCCTCACACTACCTCAACTCCACCGCCGGACCGCAGGCGCCCTGGCTCGGCTCCGCTCCGCTCCGCCCGCCCCGCGACGCACCACCTCGGGCCCCGCCCAACCCGGTCAAGGGGTTGCCGCACTCTGTGGGGCGCATGCGCGGTCCGGTGCCTGCCCCTTCCCCACCGCTGGGGAGGAAGCGTGAGGGGTGCCGGTGCCGGTGGTGGGTCGGGGTGAGGCGGTTGTGCAGTTTGGCGCAGGGCTTTCGTCTGCAGCAGAGAGGCCGGGAGAGCCGCAGCCCGCTGTGCGGGGACCGGGAGGGCGATACATAACTGTAGGGCTAGTGAATGCTTCCTGGAAGCATTCGTTCCCTGGGCAGCGGGAAAGCTGTCCACTCCCTTTTGATGCTCGTGAGTAGTTTGCTTGCGGGAGTTTAAGCCAGGGAAGGCGTCGCTTTCTGCCCTCTAACGGCGTAAGTGAACGTTGCCATTGGCCTCAGAAACAGCTCTGTCCCTCCTCAGGTCCGGTGCAGGGCCAGTTTGCCCTCATCATATTCTGGTTCTTGTAGCCCGCAGCTGCACAAGCTGGGCTGTTGGCGGCTGGGGCAGTATGTGAGCTCCCACCGCGATAGTTATGTAAATAATACCCATTGTGGATGTAGGACTGTGCTTGCAAGTTACCTCAAGCTCTTCCTGCAAGGTGGGGTTTAAAGGAGGCTTAATCAGTTTAAAGATATCGGTTAACTAGGGTGACTATAAGGGCATGTCCAACAGGTGCCAGTGTTATGGAGTATGTTGTTCACTCTAGCTCAACCCCTTCAGCGGGGGTTGTCTCCATCTAGACAAGCTAAGGTACCTGTTACTGGTCAGGTGCTGCAGGTGGGTGTAAGGGGAAGGTTGTGCTTGCAACACGGCACCCTCTGTAACATAAACAGTTACAGCAAGTGTTGTCGTGGCAACCACCGCCTCAGCTTCCCATCAGTATCTCCACACCTGCAACTGTACTGCAGCTTTCCCTGCTTCCCTCCTTTCCAGCGTGCATCAGAGCCTGCCTGGCTGCTCTCTGGTCATCAACCTTTCTTTTTGGCATGGATTAGATGCAGGAAAAATCAGTATTTAAATCCATTGCTCTAATAGAAAAAAAGATATTGATACATCGGTGGGGTTAGTGGCCTAGACCTAAGTTGATAGACAACTATTGGCAGGTGTTATGTCAGCTGATGAGTCAGTTGCATATAAAACTTTTCTAATGTCAACTACCTCACAGTACCTTATTTCAGAGTCTTGTGAAACATATTTTGGAAAATTTGGTGTTTGGTCATTTGGGTTTTTTTCTTGTTTATCTGGAAAATATTGGTATTCACCTATGAGTCAATTTAAATTTGATAAAATTAGGCAAGTGTAGAAATGGATAGAAGAATATTCAGAAGAAGCTGCATTAAGGGAATTATATATTTATTTGATTATGTAATCCATCCCATGGGCAAAAGTCTGTTGCTAAGTTATACAATGTTGAATGACAGGCAAAAAAACAAACAAACAACCCAACCTGAAATACTTGGTGAGTAAGCTTTTGAGTGAACAGATTGACTGTATGTTGTGCACCACCAATAAAATTGTTGCTAGAAGTATTTTCAAAAGTGGAATCACCTCATCAGTTTCTGTGGGTATTTCCTCATGAAGATTTCCTCTTGACAAGATCAAAACCAGGTAGTCTGAATTGGACTTCACAGAACAAACGCACTGCAGCTATTTACTGCCATTTATTACTGTACTATTTTCTCAGTGATTAATCCTTTATTTTCACAGACGTGCAGTGAGCAGCTGTAATGTCTTTGCAAATGTAATTTACATTCTGTTTAGAGCTTACTGGGGAGAGAAAGGGAAATCTGTCAGTGGTGTAATAACAGGAAGATTTGTTTGTGGAGGTCACAAAATTGTATTAAGAAATCTGTCTCCCTTATAAATGTATCCTCTGTTGACAGGAACTCTCAGCTCTTAATAACATACCTAATTCCTGTTGCCTGAAGGCCTCACGTATTTGGTCATCTTTCATGAACATGCATTTCACAATATTACATGACAGGTTTTCCCCTTATCCAAGATGTGTGGTAAAAACTATATCACAAAATTATATCCAACACCCTGTTTCTCCTCAGTGACATATGAATATCATACCTTAACAGTGTTTCCATGTTCCTCATATTTGTGCACAAGAATCAGAATCATTTCCCAAGGGACAGATAAAATCCCAGGATTTCGGGGGTAAAAACTTGCTATACTGCAGTGTTCTGTATTAGCTTTTTTAATCCAAAACCGCAAATACAGGTTGATGCTGTGATGTTATCTTTGTTCCTTTCCCATGCCATTCCGTACCTGTAGACTGTCCTTCCCTATTAATTTGCACATCTATTGCTGTGTCCTTTCCAACCCATTTGGCCTCGGTGCTGAGCCTCTGCTGCCTGCAAGATAAGGGCTGCTGTAGGTACTGGCTTGTGCTGGAGGAAGAAGTGCCAAAACCGCGTAGGCTACAAAGGAGGATCTTCTCTGTTCGGCCACAACTCAGCCCTTGACTTGTGGCCAAGCAGAGAAGCCTTTCGGTAAAATCCCACTTGAAAGGCAACTCTCCTGATTGAAAGCGAAATTCAGGCCTTTGTTTTCTCGAAGTATTCAGACTGAATCACGCGCCTTCGTTTTCAATTTAGTACAAGGAAAGCACCCTTCCAGCCTTGCATGTTAAATAACCACTTGCCCTAACAAAGGACCACCGACAGCAGGGCACCCGAACACATGAACTTTAAACACCCTTCCCCACGGCGGGTTTGGACGCAAGGCCGATGTGCACGTCGAGCAGGAGCATCCGCGATTCAGACAGGACAGGAGGAAAAGAGTTATAATTACCCGGGGAGCGGCAGGAGCTGCCCCGGTACCTGGCCGCCGAATTAAGCTGGACTGGCAGCGCGCTCGCTTCCGCGGCGGCGCGCCCCCGACAGCGGATGGGGGGGGAGAAGCGTCTGCGCATGCTCGGCAGACCCTCGCGAGGCTCGTCGCTCGTTGTCCCGCCGGCGGCGTCTCCTCCTTTGTGGCGGGCGGGCCCCGCCTCCCGCGCGGTGTCGGGCGCACACGGAGCGGAGGCGCCATTTTGCGGTGCTGCGGGAGACGGCTTAGGAGGCTTTGGGGGGAGGGAGGTGGCAGCGCGCGGTAGTCATAACAGAAACGGTAACAGCAGTAGTGGCCGTGGTTACGGTTGCTGCTCGGGACTAGCGTCCCCGTTCGACCAGTCCCGTGTCCAGGACTTCGCCGACATGAGCGACGTGGAGGAAAACAACTTCGAGGGGAGGGTGAGTAGCCGTCCCGACTCGACCCGGGCCGTGTGGGAGGGGGGTGAGCTGCCCCGGGGAAGGGGGGAGGGCGCTCTTCCTCCTCCGGCCCGCTAGGGGTGGGGGCAACGCAGCCTGTCTCTAAAATGGCTTCTTCAAGTGCCCGAGTCTGGACTGGGCCTGGGCCACTCGCTTCTCTCTCCTCTTCCTGCCTCCTTTTTTGTTTGCTTGGTTGGTTTTTCGGACTTGGCGCTGAGGAACTGGCCTAGCGCGAGGCTGAGCTGCGCTGCCTCAATCTTCACAAGCTTCCTTCTCCCGTCACCCCCTTCTCACCCCCCCGCCGGGGTGCGGGCCCTGCGCTCGGGCGGTGCGGGTTCGCCCCCACCGTGCTAGCGCTTCTTTTTTATCTAAGAACAGGGCTCGGAGCGCTGGTGCAGCCCGGCGTTTCTCCCCGTTTTCCTCTCCCTTTTCTTTCTTTCCCGTGATTTGAGCCGCCGTATTGTCCGGCCTTCTGTTGTGTGCCGGTACTAGGCTTCGGGGTCGCTGCCGTTCCCCGTCCGTCACCGCTCTGCCCGCGGGCAGTACCAGCCCCCTGCTCGTGGCATGGAGAGCGCGGTCCCGCGCGGTGTAGCCGAGGCCTCCGCCCGCCTAAGAGAGGAGAGACCCGGTCCTTTTGTGAGAGGTGCGCTGCCTTTCCTGGCTGCTGGCCCGCAGGCAGGATCTTCGGGCCACGCTTCCCGAAGCCGTCAGGGAGGTATGGCCTTCGTTGTCAAACCGTTGAAACGCATTGATCACGCAGCTGGAGACTTTCTCTCAACAAGCTGCTGTGGCTTTGTAACCTTGTTAAGCCTGTTCCTTCTCCCTCCCCTCTGATTGCTGCGGTTTTTCATGTACACGTATGATTGGTCCCTTATATTTTTCATGGCTTTCTTCCTTAGTGATGATCAGGGCAAGCAGGAATTGCTTTGTCCTCACTCCACCTCTACTTACTCTTAACTTTGCAGAGATTTGCTGTTGTTGCTTACTCTTTTAAGGGATCATTTAGAGGAACAGCTCAGGTAGCTTTCTCTGATGAACCAGTGACAGCAAGTTTACAGTTATTTATATAGGGTTACTGTTCGGGGAAACAAGCAATGAAATTATTGAAGAGTAGTGTCACATTCCATTAATACTTTGTTTTACACGAATATTGTTATCCTTTGTGATGTTAGTAAAAAGACCAAACAAACAAAATGAAAACAAACACCTCAAAACCAACACTGCTTAGGCTGAGTGTTGCACTTGACAGTGTAGTGACCGCTGCTGCTGCTTCCTCAGGTGAGGTAAAGAAAATCTGTTCTGTGCTGGCTGCTTGGACAAAGATGGCAGTATAGC